TTTATAAAATTATTTATCTTTATATTTATTAAATATAAATATTATAAATTATAAATACATAAGAGTTTGCTATATATAAATATTATTATAATTACAGTCAGACCTCTCTATAGTCATTATACTTGGGAAAAAAAATTGAAGGATTAAAGAGAGATGTGACTATAAAGAGATTTTTTTTAATTATAATTAATTAATAACTGGAAAACTCAAAAATGGTGATCATAAAAAAGTAACTATATAGAGATATGACTATAGAAAGTTCTGACTGTATATATGTTTAAAGAATATATTTTTATTATTATAATAATATATTATGTATATATAATGTTTTGATTATAATTATAATAAAAATATAATTTTTTTGGGTTAATTAATAATTTTCGTTTTATTTTTAATAAAAACCAACCTTCCACCGGAACTAAAACTGTATCAGATATTAATTATAAAGTAAGATTTGTCTGGTGTAAATTGCATTTTAATGAATTTTTTATTTATATTGGAGGTTAACATACGCTTTAAATTTTTTTAGAATATTCAGTTGCCTTCTGGATGGTTTATAGAGAAGATAAAATATTAAGGTTCCTCAGAAGTTGGTCTGTTTTCTGAAATAAGGTTTCATTTTTCAATAAATTCAGGGATATTATGTACTTATAAAATTTATTATGACACAATGATCATGACATCAATCACCAAATGATCGTTTACCTGTCATAATTTCATTCTAAATCTATAAATATTTGCCGTACTAGTATGTGACTTTCCATATAAAACTCTGAACTCATATAAAAGCTATGCCATAAATTTCGTGATTAGATTTGTTGGAATGTTAAGTTCAAAATCAATAATTTTTCCATATATTTCTATTCTATGTATTAATTTTTCAGAGCAAAAATCATTTTGGGATTATTACATTTGTAACTGCGTTTTTAGCTATTCCATAATACTTAATATTTTGATAAATTTGATTGTATTAGAAAAAACAAACTTACTTTAAAAATTTTTTTAGCTCGTATATTAGAAGATATTCAACGTGGAGGAATTTATTCATAATTAAATGCCATTTACATTATACATGCACATGTACATGTTTATGTAATTATTTTTTATCGTTATTAAAATTCCCTTAAAAATTAGTCTATTAAGAATGATGTAATTTTCATTTAAATAAATTGATAACTTTCGTATTTTTAAGAAAATTTACATATTAACTTAAATAAGAATTAGAAGCAATACCCGCTCTATATGTATATATATATCTTTAGATTATTTTCATTATTAAGAAATATTTCAGGTCTATCAGAACATAGTGCTAAAATTGAATGATCTTGCTCTTTGTATTTTTTTATTATATCACCAACTTTGAATTAAGATTTTTCCACGTTCAAAATTTGATCTTTTAGGAATTATTCAAAAATGTTTGTTTTAAAACGGTAACGGTCGAAATTCCGAACATTCATAAGCTCGAAGAATCAAATTCTCGAATGAAAGACATCCCGTGATAATTTTAGCGTTTCATGCATTTTGGGCATGTACATGTATTCTACTTTCGGGATTTCGTTCTTTCGTTCATTCGGGATTTAGTTATTCGGGATGCCGTTCATTCGAAATTTCGATCTTTCAAGCTTATGTAGTTCGGTATTTCGTATCAGACCAGTTTTAAAAAGAGCAAAAAATTTTCTGAAAGTAGAAATCGAGATGAATTCATTGATAAAAACAAAGAGATAAGCACAATTTATAATTGAATTAGCAAATGCATGTAATTTTTTACAAATACGAACGCGAAAGTTAAATTTATACTTTCTAGTTAGGCGGGCGTTCAATAAAAAAGTGCTACAATGACGTTTAAAGTTAGTTTATTAATTTTTCCGGTTGGCAACTTTTGCCCGGATATTTACTTCAGGAAGTAGTTATTCACTTGCTTGGGAACTTTCATACTTTAAATGACCATGAAGATTATACTTTGCATTTTCAGTACCGCAGTTCTTTAGGATGTCCTAGAACACATGAATAGATTAAAATGAGCATGTCCTAACTATGAAAGGCAAAAATTGGATGAACTTGATGTGCTTGGCAAAGAAATTGGTGAGACAATAAAATTACTTTATGATAACGAAGAATCTAATGAAATAAAAAGCAACAAATCTATCCAAAAGCAATTTTCACCAGTCGAATCTTTACTTTCAATTCCAACTGATATACAGTAGGCCACATAAAGAAATGCAACACGAATCGTTTTACGAAAAATGTGCTTCTAAGTTCGATTAAGTATCTGGTATCTATACCCATTTTAAAGTTAATAACCTAGAGAAGGTCTAATTAGCGAAATTTTAATAATTTTGTTTCAGGGAGGATTGACTTAAATATATCGATATGTACTAATTTTCACCTTAATTGGTACAAATTCGTATAGTTATCAGTTCTAGAAGCGTCAAATTAATTTTAATAAAGAAATACTTAAATTATATTTACTAGCATTAATTTGATACTTCGGGAACTTAATAAAAACGAATGTGGATTTAGTTTGAAAATTGTTATGTAGAAGCACATTAGTTGTTTGGTTCAATCCGATAACAAAATTATGTGGAATTAAAAAATTTCATTAATTACAAATATTTAGTCGAGCACTTAGTTTTCTTAGAAAGGCATCCATTAATATATAATTTAGACATTTTGTTATTGACTTTAAAATGAGTATAGACAGTTTAATTCTCCTTGTTTTTTGTAAATACATTTACGTCCAAAAACGAGTCTTTTAAAGTATTTCGCGAAATCATGTCCATGCGCATTATTTCAAATCATGGCACACATTAAGCTTAAAATTCGAAATTACATCCCTGCCCGTTTATTTTCGCGAAAAATTGCGAAATAATAATTGTCATTACAATCAGCTCTCTGTCGTTAAGCAAACATGCACTAATTTTTTAAAGAATGATTATATGGTACTCGGAAATCCTGAAATATAAATTTTTCAGTAATTTAATCTTTTAATGGTGTAGCAAATTATTAAATTTTGATAAATATACGTGGATAAATACAGCTATCAGATTTATGCTAACCTATCCTTTAATAAATGAAGATATTTGCTTTTTAAATATCGTTGAAGAAAGACAACAGCCAAATCAGTATGCACTTTTATGAATTCCGGACTGTAACTGTTATCAGTACTTGGTGCTTATGATGACAATTGATCATTTAATGTATTACGTCGAATTAAATAAGAAAAGACGTGTATATTTTGTTCAGACTTGAAGAATCGAAAAATAATTTCTTTTGCAATTACATCCGACCCTCCATATAACCGCGCCTCGAGATATAAAAATTTAAGAGGTACTTTATACAGTATTGAGAAATAATACAAAATACAATATGAAATAATATTTATAATTGAAAGTTATACAGTATGAAATTATATTATAATTGAAAGTTTACAGTATGTGTACTGAGTTGAAAATTCTCCGTTCTTCTTAATAGCATTATCAGCTAAACGCATTTAAAGCTGTAGTGAAAATAAATAAATCTAAATAAAGGAAATTTTCGAATCAACTTAAGATATGAAATTTTGAACTTTTGAAAGTTTGCAAGCAGGTAAATGAAAATAAAAGAAACTAAATAAATACAGCGCGTACTGTATATTATTTAAGAATCAGGAAAAGGTATTGTTTCCGTCGAGTGAATTTCTATGGTTAAACGATTTAAATTGTCTGTGTAGATGCATTGAACATACTTTATATTATTTATCGTTTAACCGAAAATACTATAGTGTTTTTATTTCTTATTACTGTAGAAACAAAAGGAAAATATTTTTAAAAAAATAAATCTAAAACTTCACTTCTGCAAATTACTGTAAATATATATATGATCGGAGTCATGGTATTATCCATTAAATCGTTCCCAAAAAAATCCCAATTTTGTCCCTACCCTAACATTCGATATCAAAAATTTGACAGTATTAAGGTTCAAATTAGGATAAAAATCATATCACTACGTAGTTCTACTTCTTTGTAATCAAGCATAGGCTCCGGGATTAATTCAAGCATAATATTTGTAATCTCGTCTGTGTTATATATTTACATATGTAAGAATAACATTATAATCGGCAAAACAGCTACAAATAATAATGAAAATTTCTATTAAGAAATATCTTTATAAAATAATCTTTGAAAGTTACAGCCAACAAAATTCTTATCCACATCTAGGCGCACGCCACTTTCTTTTCAATATTAGTTGTACAATTAAGACATTTTTTTGTCATAGATTAATATAAGTTTCTGGTTTTTTTCGCTTGTCTATTCTCTAAACCAGGTTAGTCTGCACGAAACTTTCTATAAAGTTTCGTTTCACAGCTATGACTATTATTTGATGCCGATATACATGTACATTTATTGTGGTGCAATTGTAGGCACATATATTTGGCACTCTTATAGCATTGTGGACAGCTTAATAAGCTCGGAAGCGAATGTTTGATAACAAGTCATTATTGATGCAACGTCTTTTATAGTGAATAAATAGATAACACATGTAATTAAAAATTTCACTATTAATTAACCTTTAATTTAACACATACCCCTTTCATAATGAATTTGGCTAGAATCACAATTTGGATTCAGGCACCAGTAAAAGTCATTTGCGAAAGCACAGAGTAAAAGGAGACAATTTTTGGTATCTTTGCAAATTATACAATTAAAAATTAATATCAAAGAGTTAATATTAAATAAATTTTCGTGGAAAATGTCAATGTTTTCCTTTCGAAAATCGTTTTATAACAAATTTTTGACATAACCTTCAGTCATTATATTTCAGCAGTTTTCATTTGGACATCTAAATTCAATGCTTATTTGTCTTGCAATTCGTGCTCAATAAGTTTGCAACACAAACTTGACAGATATTGTTTTCATGCTGACAATTGATTGGATTTTGAATTACATGTAATTGTGTCGCATCAAACGTTTCTGCACATTTGATACATTCTTGTAAAATGTTGTTCGCATTGTCATTCACAAATGGTACAGGATATTTTGATGTTGAATTTCATAGATATGAATTTAAAACACTCCATGAAATTGAACTTAGTGAAGGAAGAACGAAAATTGGTATTTGTGACGATGTAATTGAAATTAGCTTCCGCGAAAGAGAAGTTGATTTTTGAGGAAATAAAATGTGACAGATCTTTGTGAAGATGAAACCGAAATGGAGCTCTGTAAAGATGATGAAGAAGTTGAGATTTGAATTTCGTAAAGGAAGAACGACAGTAAAATTTTGTGAAGATGAAATCGAATAGAGCTATGTAAAGATAATGATGAAGTTGAAGATGAATTTGCGAAGGAAGAACGGAAGTTTGACTTGGAAAGATGAAGTCAAAGCTGGATTCGTGAAAGATTATTTTGTACGTTAACGAAATCCTGGCTCTGTTGCTTTCAATTACCACTCGTTCATTTTTGACAGTGCCAATTTCATCACTGTAACAGAAAGCAAGATTATACTGTATAGTGCGTTGCGTTTTACTGACTATGCTGCTTTCAAGTACCACTTGAATCAATTGGTTGTTGTTCATGGTATAATTTACAGCTGTGTCTCTTACTGTATTAAAGTAGAAGTTAGAACTGTTTCTCCGTTGGTTCTTTTTTGACCGTGTACTCATCAGTAATCGTGAAAATTCCTCATTTATCATTAACAATGCTATCGTTATGTGCGATCTTTGTATTGACATTTAATATTAACGTTAATCAAGTTAATTAGCATTACCGTTAAATACCATTGCAAAGCTAATGTGCATTTATTAACATTAAATTTATCAGATGTACTCTTCAAGATTTGTATCTAGTTAATGTATTTAACATACATATTTGTAATCAATTATAAATATTACACTGAAGTTTAAATTGTGGCCTAAAGTACAGAAAAATTAACCCATATTTTAGTATTGGATTTGACAAGATAAACTTAACAGGTTCATTTGGTTTATTGCAATCTAAAAATCGAAAATATTATGTTTAAATGCAACAAGTTTTTGGTTAGACAAGGCAGGTTATATCCAAAATTTAAATAAACAAAACATATTATATTATAACCTGTTTTGGTAAAAGCTCCAATTTTCATCGTGATGCTGTAAATAAGGTAGTATTTGTTTGATATTTCTCAAGGTGAATTACCCTCAATTAATTTTTTACTTGCAAGAGATAATAATTTCAGAGTAAGCAATAGATAAGAATGTGCTTCATTTGCCTTTCTATATTCTTTCTATTTGAAATTATTTAGGATTTTCAAATTTTCAAGTCTATAAATATTATCCACGCAATCATACAATTTACTTGAATATGAGTAATTTAATTGACTACCAATTAAAATTCATATTCATCCTTAAAGATGATTTTTTATAAAAAATTTCATAAACTACATGTTATATACTAATGTTACCGTGATAACATCAAATATATCAATCTTGCTATAGTTTCTTATTTGCCTTTTTGCTTTATACATGAACATTTATATGTATCAGTATTAAATCGATCACATATATTGTGTAACAAAAAAAATGGTGGTCACTAAATCAAAATATTTTTCAAAATAAATAAAAAACCATATTGTTGATTGTAAACGCATCTTGTTTTTCTAATAAATACCTGTTCAGACAAACAGATTTAAAGGTAAAATAATTGTTTGATGCACTATATAACATAATAAAACATGGTTAATACAAAGCTCCATGCATAGTGTGAAATAATATTATATTACTGATTGAATGGTACACATTCAGCAAATGAAATCCATCAAAAAACAAATATTTTCCTTCAAACTATTAAACAAAATACCAAAAAACTTAAAGAAACAGGTACAGTAGAGCATCACAAGGGAATAGCTAGAAATTTAAGAGTACACAAAGAATTACTACTATCATTGGACAATATATATGTAATAATAATAGTATTTTAACATGACAACTTGCTATAAAAGTGTAAGAAAATCAAGAAATATCAATATTGCATCAAATATTTTGGCAAAATTTAAAGAAAAAAAGGTTATATGAGCTCTGTATCTTGTGAAATGCTGACACTTACAGATTAGCATATGAAAATGCAAAAAAGATGGACAGAAGCACATTTGCAAGACAACTGGAGCTGTACTATCTTCACTGATGAGACTGTATTTGACCTTTTTCAAAACAAAGTCTGTTAGTAATATAAAACTGCTGTAAAACCTTTTTGGTGGCTACCTAAAACATGTCAAAAGGTTATGACATAGGGTGAAATCTTGCTTAGAGAAAAAACACTATTATTTTGCTTTATTAAAATAATGGACAGGCTATTTTATGTTAACATCCTGCAAATTCAGCTTTTACCTGTTGCATGGAATATGTATAGTAATAACTAGCATTTGCAATAGGATAATGACCTGAAGCATATGTCCAAGATAGCAAAAAATTTTATCACAGAAAATAGGATTAAGGCAATTGACTGGCTGGCAAACAGTTTCAATCTTAATCCTATTGAAAACTTGTGGCAAATAATTAAGGATAAAGTGAAGTGATGAATGCCTCAAAATATTGAGTAATTGAAGTAATTTTTAACTGAAGAATGGGAAGCAATTCCTAATGAAACAGTAATTAATTTAGTATGATCAATAAAAAATAGATGTGAACTAGTAATAGAAGCAAATGGTGATAGAATTCCCTACTAAAAATTTTACGGTTAATAAAGAATCTTTTAGGCTTTTTAACACATCAAATTTTATTTAAATATCTGTTGTAGTTGCTCAGAAATGCAAAAATTTGTCACCGCCATTTTTTTTTGTTACACAGTGTACATGTAATTGGTAAAAGTTAGATCAGATTAAAAAAGCTGAGAATCTCAACAAATTAAATAAATAAGTTCACAAATCATTTGGATTCTGTCTAAAACGAAATATTCAAGATCTCTCCTTCATTTATTTAGAAAAACAGAAACGTTCATTATGATGTTATATAGCTAGCGAACTCAAATAGAAAATCTGATATATTTAATAGTAATTAAATTGTATCAAAATCAAGATAAAATGTATGATAAAATAATACATTGGTTAATAATAATCGTAAATTTAAATAATTAACTGTCTAAATGCTTAAATAACAATGAATAACCTATATAAAGCACATAAAACTTTTTTCCACTTTAATATTAAGTAAAGAAAATATAAGAACTCCATAAATTAGTGAATTTAAATATGACCTGTTATTATATGCTCTTCTAATGATGAAATTTCGTTTTCATCTAATACTGGAAATTATCTAACATTTATAAGTTTGATTGATGGTCCCTGGAGACGTTTGACTAGAAATCCGATATTCTTTAGCCAACTTACATTAATTTAGGTTTGTTGATTTTTACGAGATGAATGCTTCTAAATATTTTGATATAACCAGCGTACTTTCGGTTAGCAGCATCAATTAGTAAAGATCGAAATTTCTATGACTCAAAAAGGTAAATTCCGTTGCTTCAAATTCATTTTTAATTGCTGATTGTTAAAGGAAGCTTTTCATAATTTTAAGAATTAATATTTAATACATGTATATACAGTATACTAAGGTTTAATATAAATGTCATTTAGAGTATCTTAAACGAATATTTATTTTGTACATGCTCCCAATTTTTATGTCAACTTATTTTTATAAATTTGAAAGATAACTAAGAAATTTTGTTATCGTTATAATAAATAAACTAAAATTATTTTTGCAAAATTCGAAATACTTCATAATCATCAACCTCAAAACAAGTTATTGAACCATCAGCGCTCAACAGAGCGTGTTCATAGCAAGATCTTTGACAAAAGTTCCTATAAGGTGCATTGAGGTACAACCTTAAATCACCAAAAATTGGTCCATATTCACTATGTTATAAATACCAAATTTTCTTTCTTTAATTTTACTCATAAATCCATCTAATTCATTCGTGTCAAATTGAAATAAAAAGCTATTTTGCGTCTCATAAGATCTATTGTTTGAATTCCATTCCGATGGATTATATCCACCAATTATTTTTCCTGAGTCTTTAACCTTAATCGCAACTATTGTCGGACCTGCGTCATCACAAAGTCGATGAAAATCAGCTGCTGTTAAACCATCTCGACTTCCTCGTAACAATAGTTTTAATTCAAATGGCTGAAGTAATCTCGTATCTTGCGATTTTATCCATTCACTTATTTTATTAATTTGATTTCGGGTAAGTATTGTGGAGTCAACATTATTGTTATTTGGATTTCGAATAGGGTGTTTGTTAGCTTGAAGATCTTCGCTTCCTGGAACCAAATAATGATGCAATAAATCCTTGTATAGCTTTGCTGATAAGAGTTCCGAATAGGGCATTACTTTATTGTAAAAATCAGCAGAACCTATATGGAAGAAACGAACAATGGTAAACATTGTTTAAGGGCAAATTTTAATTGTCTAAATTCGTTTTGTGTCCATTTCTCCACAGGACTCGTGAAATCAATATTCTCAGAATTGATAGCTTGAGCAGTTCCCCATTCAAGAACCTTCTCCCAAATATCAACTTCTTGAAGATTCAAATAATCCCGTTTGAGCAAAGAAACTAACGCGTTTTCTTGAAGTTTAGCAAAATCATTCGATTGAAAAATAGCGGCAGGATTTTGACATGCAATATCTGTGCAAAATTTGTGAAGTTTCGTAAAAGAGTCATGTTCGAATACGACTTGATTGATCAGAGAAAAATTTTCAGTCATCGACTCGATATGATGCTCTAAAAGAAGGTTTTGAACGTATTCTAGCAATTCGTCAAGAACCAACTCATCCGCAGCAATCAATAAGTCTATAAGTGTCGGCACTCCATGTTCTTTCAAGTCCATTTGGCCACAATACATATATCTAGCACACCATAAAAGAAATATTATTTACATTTCTTATACTAAATACATGTATCAATGATTTATTTACCTCAATAAGATTTTAAAAACACGCGGCGAGATATTTGGTTTCTTAAAAAAAATCATTTTATTTGGTTCTCGTTTCACCCACGTATCAGAAAGTGCAGCGGCAAAATATTGCGATTGTGCCATTAAAATAGACGAATGTGCGGTAAAGGTATGTAAATCTTTTCCATCACCAACAATTATCGAAATGTCACAAAAATTTCCCGTTTCGTAAAATTTAGCAAACTTGTTTGAATGCGAAGTCAATAAGTCGGTCGTCATTTTATTTTAATTTTTATTTGATTAGCGTGATTATTCAATATCAGTATTAAATATTAGTATTGGTATGAAGATTGAATAGTTTTATACATGTACTGTACA